TGCGTCATAATAATTGAAGGCTGGACACGGGTTTTTAATACGCAGTACGGTTGTAATAACTTGTTTATGAAGATACTTTTTAGCTACCTGTTGGTGTGCCCATGGGTGTAGAATAAAAGCTCTGGCAATCAGCGACTTATCGATATAAAATTTTAACACGTTTTGATATTTGATTCTAAAAAAGGTCATGTAGGGCTTTCTGGAGTAGACTGTGCTCACCCCTAGCTACGCCCATGTCAACGACTTTCTCAAATGAGAATTTTTGGACATAATTTGAAATGACACCTTTTAAAGTTAAGTAAAAACCTTTATTTCTCCAAATTTTACTTTTGAGCTGATTTGACTTTGGACATAAAATGTAGTCCTTATAGTCCAAGCATTCTGTTACGGATTAACGTTAAATTTGCAGAAATTATTACCTGGACAAAAAAATATAAATTTTAAATTGATTTTCTTATTCTTTAAACTCGATCCTAATTGGCGAACATGTTTAAAAAAAAATCGCAAAGTTGCAAAAAACGGTTTTTCTAAAATAACTAAAAAATATAGCAGCGATTGAAAAATTATAAATGAGAAAGTTGTAGGCTTTAAAAAGATCTATCGACTGATTTTTTTTAAGTATCGATTGATTTGTTACTTTTCGAGATATATCGAAAAAACCGTTAAAAATCTTCTCTTTTCTCTTCTTCTATAACTCGTTTACATTTACGTTCCCATACTTGCTATTTACGGCAAGCATAGCCCGCGGCAAGCCAAAAAAAATCATTCTTGAAAAATTTAAAAATATTAATTATTTTTCGAGATATATCGATTTTTTGAAAAAAAGGCGCTCTCGAAAATTGGCTAGATCTTCTCAGCGGATAGACCCACAGTAACGATTTTCGGTTTATTTTCTTCGTAAAGAGTTATATTATCATGCTGTTAAAAAATGTTGACGATTTTATTAATTTTAAGGATCAAAAAATGACATTGAAAAAGTTGCACTTTTTTTGGTTATGTTTTTTTCAAATAACTATTTCAATTTTTATTTTATGAAAATAACTTTTAGCTGACGCACCAAGCGCTTGCACGCTTCAGTTTATTGCTCAATTACTAATACTAAAAATCAATTAAACACATCCTATTTTTTGTTTGAAAATATAAGTATTCAAAATTAACCTCCATCAAGCGCATCGCTGTAAAAAGTTAATTGTGTCCTCAATTTTTTTTTTAATAAAAAAATTATCTCGGCTCTTCGGAAGGTCGTAGAAAAACAATTTTTTTTAAATTCGTGAAAAAATGTCATCAGTTTCTTTAAAAGTTATTTTTATAAAATAAAAATTGAAATAGTTATTTGAAAAAAACAACCAAAAAAAATGCAACTTTTTCAGTCATTTTTTGATCCTTAAAGTTAATAAAATCGTCAACATTTTTTAACAGCATGATAATATAACTCTTTACGAAGAAAATAAACCGAAAATCGTTACTGTAGGGCTATCCGCTGAGAAGATCTAGCCAATTTTCGAGAGCGCCTTTTTTTCAAAAAATCGATATATCTCGAAAAATAATTAATATTTTTAAATTTTTCAAAAGTGATTTTTTTTGGCTTGCCGCGGGCTATGCTTGCAGTAAATAGCAAGTATGGGAACGTAAATGTAAACGAGTTATAGAAGAAGAGAAAAGAGAAGATTTTTAACGGTTTTTTCGATATATCTCGAAAAGTAACAAATCAATCGATACTTACAAAAAATCAGTCGATAGATCTTTTTAAAGCCTACAACTTTCTCATTTATAATTTTTCAATCGCTGCTATACTTTTTTAGTTATTTTAGAAAAACCGTTTTTTGCAACTTTGCGATTTTTTTTAACCATGTTCGCCATTTTGGATCGAGTTTAAAGAATAAGAAAATCAATTTAAAATTTAATTTCCTATACGGTCATATTTTTTTTGTCCAGGTAATAATTTCTGTAAGCATTTCTCTATAATGCTTAGACTATTAAAATCTGAAATGAAGATAACACAGACTTTTTAAGATATGTATAATAAGGAACCAATAAATGAATTACATCCCAAAGGCTCTGTTGTCATAACTAAAATATCGTTGGGATATCAGAGTGGTATCTTTTTTAATATTTTTAGAACGTCCGGTCCTTAGTGAAATTTTTTCAGACATTAGCGATATTATCTGAATCCGTAACACTATACTTATACAATGGTGATTCACAACTTATCCAAAAAAAATTGGGAATAGATACTTCATGAAAAATGCAGTCAATATTGTAAAAAAAAATTAGTAAAATCTTTATAGTTTCCGAGAAAAAAATTATTGAAGCTGTAGTATTTAAAACCTTTACATAGCTGAGCTACTGTCTAGCGTCATTTGTGTTGTGCGCTGTACGCAATTCGCTTTCTCTCCACATTGGCCTAGGCAATTCCGAATACTGCAATTCGATGTTAGTATTTACGTTTTTGCGATAGTGTTTACATTAGTTTTTCAAATGTCAAAAATGGCTTACGTGTATAGCAACTCGATCAGAGTTGATGTATATGGTTCTAATTTATGGCGAAGCAAGACAACATTTGTGTCAGTTCGAAGAAACTGGGTACGACGGGCACAAATGTATTTACACGTTGGCGGACAAAATTTTGAACAGTTGTTGTAATATCAGGTATATCAAATTATTTTATTATTTAATTAATAATAAAATAAAATAAAGCAGTTGAATTTGGCGACATATATCTTCCAATTTTTTGTCCGTTAATTTATTATTACACTTTGCCGCCATGCAGACTGCATGCTTTGGCTTGCGCAAGGTCAGGTTTTTGCAATGGAGCAGTTTCGAATGTCGTGCAGAAGTGAATTTTTAAATCATTTTGGAACTGCTCCGATTTTTTTTTTACAAAATTGTGATGTCTCTTTTGGTGAGATGCTGAAGTTATTTTACGTTTAAGAAGCGACAAATGATAATATTTTTTGTTTTACAATCTTTGCTGCCGATATTTATTTTTAATCTGATTGTAACAGAACTATTTGATTTGTGAATATAACTACACCATAACATCAAATATTTTCAGGTTTCAAAGTTTCAAAACACCAAAAATTAGGTTGGTGCGTTAGGGAAAAAAAGGTAAGTAATCTTGACTGACAAACAATACTACAATATTTTTATCAAATTGAACATAAGGTTTATAAAACAATGAAAGCACTTTTGATGTCATTGGAGCGACTTATGGATCTTTTTGTGAGGTTAGAAAAAGACAAAAAGATTTCTCGTTGCATTGTGTCCTTTCCTTTTGCTGGATGATTTTATCTGTAAATGTGAAATAATGCTTTTAATACAATTAGTCTCTTTCAAACTGTTATAAATATAAAAAGCCTATACTCTATCTGTAATTGATGTGTAGTAGTTCAATCGTATCTGTAACTAGGATCGTTACAAGAATAGTTTAAGAATTGCATAATTTAGGATTCTGTACATGTTACTCGTTAATCGTAGCTTATAAAATTTAAATTTACAGAAAAACGCAGAATGGAAACTATTAATTATGACGTTTCGTGTTACCTTGTCCGTCCGTCCTCGTCTTTCTAGGCTATTGACCCCCCTCAAAGCGTCGAATCATACATACCCGTAGAGGCTGATCGAAGAGTTTGCGCCTTCCACTTACGCTACTCCAGAAGATTCAGTTACGAGATGGTGAAACGAGCGTATTAAACTGAATAAAACACACCTATATTTTACATATAAAATTTATTCCTTTATTTTGTTGCATAGAAAAAATAATTTTGTAGATCAGATTCGACGAATGGCAAAAATACAGTGTGGAATGGATAAAATACATAAATGCACGTTTCGGGACAATTACAAAATAAAACCAGTTAAAAAATTGATGCGCTAACGTCTCGCACAGCACGTTTCGGAGCGCCGCTGACACAAGTTTGCCTGTCGCTGTAAACGTATCGAGTTCCAACGTTCTCGCTCCTCCCATTTAAAATGCTATACGAGAATAGCGCCTGCGGTTTGGCAAAGTAGTACCACGAGGAGGCACGCCCCCCCGTGGTTCTAGTAAATTGTATTTTCATTAAACTCGGCAGTCATGTACAGGGTGCTCTATTAACTCTCTTTCTGTGATCAACTCTTATTGGGCGAATACCGGAAGCATCATCCACGAAGAGAGCCGTGGATCGCCCTGTACGCGACACTGGTCGAACTGTAGTCACTTCGTTAAGGCCTTACTATAAGTTTTTTAATTAATATCATCACCGTTTCTATTCGCTAACATTATATCTAAAGGGGGTTAGTCCTCGGGAACCTTCCAGTTCAGCAATTTCCCCGTCTCGTACAGTTCGGCCAGGGCGTCCCCCACCTTGCTCTGGGCCTCGAGTTGTTTGTACTTTTTGTACAGCTGGAGGGCGGCCCTCGCGTCCTCCACGGAGTCGTGCGTTTCCGACTGAATCTTTATTCCTAAAAAAAATTACAAGGGAGAAAGTCATTCGACAACCATCGCAAGTGCGAGTTTTTTCGCTTTCGGCAGAGGACGACTCACCCAAGAAGTGCCAGGCGAGGAAACGCAGGGAAACCATTCTATGATGAGGTAAATGGAACAATTGCACTGTGTCGGCCACTTGCTCTGGAGGAACTACTAAATTAATCACCCTGAAAAGTCAAGATAATCTTAAAATCCCATTTTATAACAAGTTTTATAATTTAATAATAATAAAAATTACATTAATTTTTTGTTTTGACAGTTACGGCGAGAAAACGAAAACAGTAATAGCTAAAACGCCCTTGCAAATGTTTTTCTCTAAATAATGATTTTTATCTTTGAATAATTTCCTACAAAAATTATACTCCATTCGATTTAAAGTTTGAATGTTAAAAAAACTATTATAGACCGATCAAAAAAACTCATTTAGAGGGAAAAAAAAGAAAATTGTTACCTGGACTTTTATAAATGGAAATGGTAAAGGGGCTTATGATAAAAGAAAAAAAAAATAAATGCGTGAACAGGAGCGGCGGAGGGTTGATTTGGGGGGTTGAAAAGTTATGAAAACTTGTATAATTGGGATTTCTGGCGAAAGTTGACGTCAAACAAAAAAGTATCTAATACAAAAGTTGTAGATCATGCAAAAATCTACAACTTTTGTAGAGGTCACATTTTAACATAACCTCAAAATTTCCGAGAAAAATGCGAAAAACAGGTTCTTTTCTGATTTTTCGTTTTTTATTTCTCATTTCCTCAAAAATAATTTAATTTTGGCGAAACTTGGTGAAAGTATACCTTTATCTATCTTAAATAATCTCAAATTTTTTTAGATAAAAAATCAAGAAGTTTCTGAGATATTCATTTTTTTTTGGCCTGAAACACTTTTTTTTTCAAAGAAAAATCATCAAACAGAATTCTGCCGGTAATAATTTTTTCGTTTTGACATACATTTTTTGGTGAAATAAAAAAATTTGTAATCACAGCTCAAAAACATGATCAAAAATGCAAAAAGTAAAAAATGACTTACAACAATGAATTTTTCAGTTATTGTTGATAATTTTTTTAAATTTAAAAAAAAATCAAAAACTGATTATACCATTCAATTCTACGGGAACAAATAAATAAAAAACTGTCTCATTGTTTGACCCAAAACTATTTTTATACAGTATTGCTATAAACGTAAGTTGAATAGTGAATAAATAAAATAAATAATAATTTTTTTTCCGTAGGATCGATTAGTGTACTTATGTACTTATTTTTTTTAAAGTTTGATGAATTCATAGATAAGTATACAGTGTGTCCAAGATAAGGATGGGATAGCATTAGGATCTAGGAAACGGTAAAAGATACGGGGTGGCTCAGATTAGAAAAAAGTTGTGTTTTTTTATACCTAACAATATGCTGTTTAGAAAGTTTTAAAATTCCGGGTAGTTCCAGAGATATCCGGAAAAAACATTTTTTCTGGCTTTATTTGAAAACGAATTTTAAAATAAATTACATATTTACCCACTTTTTTCGCTCTATGCAATAGCGTCAACATTTTTGCAATCAGACGTTTCGTCTTCGAGGGGCCATCATCGGGTTAATTTTTTTAAATACGTTGCTGCTATTTTTATGACAAAACCTAATGTCATTTTTAATTTTGAATTAAAGCTAAAAAGTTTTTAGCTTGTTTTAGCTATAATTTAAAATTTTTCCTGAGTACGGCTCTGAACGCTTTCAAAATATCTATTGGATGAAGTCATAACAGTATAAAAGTCAATATAGCACAAAATATCATATCAACAATTTTTTACTACTGTTAGCAATACCAGTGGCGGCTCGCCGGATGACGCAAGTGACGCACCGCTTCACCTAAAATTTCCGTTTGGTTGTGCAATTTAAAATTATTTTTAATTTTGTATAAATTTTAAAATTTACGTATAATTCTATATATTGAAAATTATAAATTTTTAACACGCAGAAATAAACAGAATAGTTACGCGGTGACCGCCTTTTAAAAAACCATTGCCTTCATTGAGCGCGAACATCAACCTCGTACCATACAACGTATAGCATAAGCAGGTGACGTTGATCGAAATCAGTTTGTATTTCGCTTCACTTCGTAGCGTTGTTTACGGCGGTTGTCATGGCAACGAGGCGGCCAACATGTGGGTAAACTACGGGGCGTGGAGGAACGAGTGACGCGGAAATTGAAGCAGCATCGCCAATCGCCATCGCGCTCGCCTTTACTTTTAACAGTTTATACGATACGTCATAGAAAAAGGATTATATCCTTTTTCTATGCGATACGTCGCCCAGTGCACGATTATAACAGATCCTTGTTAATATTTGTTTTGTATCAATAATTCAATAATTGTAGAAATGTTTTCTATGGATGATCCAGTATGTATTTTATTGGAAACACCATTTTCCAGATGAAAAATTGAGGAAAAAAAGGATTTTTTAAATTACGAGAGACTTGTGCCTTATTCTCTCGATGTTGAAAAAAGGGGGGAAGTCAAAAGATTAAATTCCGAAACTTCCGAACGTACATTAATGGTATTCGGAATATAAGTGGTTGTGTGGAAGTGTTTATTTAAAAAAACTTTTCTGTATGCCGTGTTTAATTGTGTTTCTATTTTTTATAAAATCTAAATGAAACATTCGGTAATATTGCAAATGCAACTAAAAATTTCCAGATACATTTAAAGCCGTTTGACCTTGAAAATTTGAAAATTTTCGCCTGCGGCGCTTTTTTTCTTTTTAGCTAATCAATGAATATGCTTCACCTATTCTCAATGTCACGAGCCGCCACTGAGCAATACTAATTAGAAATAATAAAATATTTCATAAAATCGTCTTATTTTTTTATTAGGTACACCTTTTTTAAATTATGGATTAAAAAAATTGTTGGATATTTTGTGCTGTATTGACTTTTATACTGTTATGACTTCATCCAATAGATATTTTGAAAGCGTTCAGAGCCGTACTCAGGAAAAATTTTTAATGATAGCTAAAAACCTTTTTAAGCGATTACAATAGTAATACCATCTAGTACAGAATTAAAAACGACTAGATTGTGTCATAAAAATAGCAGCGACATATTTAAATAAATTAATATGATGATGGCCCGTCAAAGACGAAATGTGGGATTGCAAAAATGTTGACGCCATTGGATAGAGCGAAAAAAGTGGCAATATAAATATGCAATTTATTTAAAATTCGTTTTCAAATAAAGCCAGAAAAAAAATTAAACGATTTTGCAAAATTTCGGATTTCGCGCCAACAGTAGACTTTGCAGTTAATTCTTTCTATTGCTGAAATCTAGAATCAATCATCCAGAGATAATTTATCATTTGTGCATTCGTAATTCGACTTAGATGTTTATAGCAGTACTGTAAAAAAATAATGTTTTGGGTCAAACAATGAGTTTTTTTTATTTTTTTCCGTAGAATTGAATGGTGTAATCAGTTTTTGAATGTTTTTTAATTTAAACAAATTATCAACGATAACTGAAAAATTCATTGTTGCGTCATTTTTTACTTTTTTGCATATTTGAGCATGTTTTTGAGCTGTGATTACAATTTTTTTTATTTCACCAAAAAGTATATGTCAAAACGAAAAAAATGATTACTGGCAGAACTCTGTACGATGATTTTTTTAAGTAGAATTTTTCTTTGAAAAAAAAGTGTTTCAGGCCGAAAAAATGAATATCTCAGAAACTTCTTGATTTTTTTATCTAAAAAAATTTGAGGTTATTTAAGATAGACAAAGGTATACTTTCACCAAGTTTTGTCAAAATTAAATTATTTTTGCGGAAATGAGAAATAAAAAACGAAAAATCAGAAAAAACCTGTCTCGCAATTTTCTCGGAAATTTTGAAGTTATGTTAAAAAGTGACCTCTAAAAAGTTGTAGATTTTTGCATGATCTACAACTTTTGTATTGGATACTTTTTGTTTTAACGTCAACTTTCGCCAGAAATCCCAATGATACAACTTTTCATAACTTTCCAACCCCCCAAATCAACCCTCCGCCGCCCCTGCTCACGCATTTATTTCTTTTTTCGTTTATCATAAGCCCCTTTAAAAATTTTTTTTTCTCCAAGTGTAATTTGGTTGGACTATTAGTAGACATTTGAACATTTTTAACTGAATTTGAAACAAACGTTCAAGTAAAAAATCTCGAGCGCGACGAGAGCGACGTTCACGCGCATGCGCGGGCCCGGCGCTCTTTCTCTCGCGTGCCGGCCGTTCATTTATGTTAACTTTTACTACTGCTAGCGCATTTATTACATGAACTTTTTGGAAATAAAAGTTTAACCCTTTCTTTAATTGTCTCAAAAATCCCGGTCCGATAGGTCCAACAGTTAATTAACAATAAAAAAAAGCTATCTTGGGAACAAAGAGTGATAGGCGGTAATTTAAAAAAAAAAATTTCATATCAACGTGAAGCTTCCTTTCCGAGACAAGTCATGGCCCTACAGATGACCCATACTCACCTAAAATCGTTCTTAAGTCCGTGTCCCACAAAAATAACGCCGCTGTCCTGTAAAAATCTTAATTTAGTGTAAGTCGACTTAAGAGTAGTTAAATGCTTCGAACTGAAATTGGCGTCTAAGTCCCCTGGTTTAATACCCGAGAATTTGGTTAGATAATCGACGACCTGTTCTTGGGTGGAGATGTAGTCGTCTATGAACGGCGTCCCCTCCATATGCCCGTGCCTATGCAACAGATTGTACAGTAGGTAAGACAAGTGTGTCGTTCGTAAGTCATAGCGGGACAAAATAAACTGTTCAATTCTCGATTCTAGGTTAACTCCGGAAGAAAAAAACACTAATCAAATTTTTTTATAGACGAGAAGATACCCCAATTTTCATATTAAAATATATAAAACACAAACATATAGTCAAGATTTAAAAGCACCTCGTGATCTGCGGTTCCAGGCTATAATAATAAAAAAAAATTGATTTGCTGACATTCTGAAAAAAATTACAATCCGGCAACATTGTACCATTTCGCACAGTCAAAAATAAACTTTACGTGATAATATATGAAATTTTTTTTTTTTACCCTCTTATACAAGTAATCCTTGCCACCGACATCTGCGACGGTTTGATGGTGGACATTTTCCCGTCGCTTCTCAACTCGGCCTCCTCCTGGTTTAAAGTGACAAACTCGGCGTCCATCGCCACCAAATCGCCAGACTTCAAAATCTCATTTTCTGACAGGGGCGTGAAGGTAATGCCCCTCGTACCGCCGCTCCTTGCGATGCAGGCGTCTTCGGTGAACACCTCCTAGTTGCGGCAATGTAAATTATTTTTATTTTCTTGTCGTTGGACGTCCATAAATAAAATTCCTCCACATCATAATTCAGTACGTTTCAAGAATTTTTTTTTCCCATCGAATTTAAAGAGATTCAGGGTCTGTGCTCTCAAAACTTAAAATTTAGTTTAGTTTAGTTTAATTCTAAAAATTTTATTGTGAGTAACTACTTATAGTTTGTTTTTTGGTTCAAAATAACTTGCAAAATCGTAAAAAAAATTTTTGTAAAATCCTTATGGTTTCCAAGAAAAAAATTATTGAAGGTGTAATACTTTCAACCATTACATAGCTGGACAACTGTAGTCTCTAGCTTCATTCGTAATATGCATGAAGAGCCACGTGGCCTTAGCGACTCCAAATACTGAAATCTGATTTTACAATCATCGTTGCCATAGTGTTTACAATAGTTTTTTAGTAGTTAGTGTCAAAAATGGCTTGCGTGTGTAGCAACTCGGAGTTGACAGACTTGAAGTATTTCTGTTATGGTGAAACAAGACAGCATTTGTGTTAGTTCGTACGTCATTTTAATAAATTTTAACGTATACGTGGAAGAATTTTATTTATGACCGCTGTCCCAGGTAATAATAATAATAAAAATAATAGACAGTTTTAGAAAAGATTAGTCGGTTTGTAAGATTTTGTAGAAAAAGTCACTTACCCTCGACATCGGATGGCGGACCGCGCTGTTTGCGTCCAAAATCTCCGGGGATGAATAGTACAGGACGCACGGCACTTTCCAGTCCAAACTGAACCAGACGGCTTCTTGAGCCGGCACCGGACTGATGCTGAAATCGTTAAAAAGGTACCATTTGTGGTCTGCCTTATCTCTACTCTGTAAATATGGATCAGGTACTTTTATTAAAGCCACTAGGTTACGTCTGTCGGGGGAGGATTGGTCGTTTATGTAGCACACGACAGAGGACAGCTCGTACTTCTTCGTCTCCACACTGACGTTCCTTTCTCCCTGGAAAACGTCAAATCTAAAGGAAAAAAAAAACATTGGCCCGAACAATATGCCAACCTGCTTTTCCTTATCTTCCAACTTTCTAACTTTCAACGATTCGTCCCTCAGCGCCATCTCGATCTCGTGGGGCAGCCAATTATTGCTACAATATAGGTTGTTGGTCGGCACCGTTGGTGGGTTGTTATCGAAGCTGTGCCTGAATCGGCAGCCGGGTCTCGAGCAGTTGTCCCCGTATCGACACGGTTTCGACGAGGTTATGGAAGAGGCCATCGACGGTGAGCTGTTTATGTCTAACGCTAGTTTCGTCGCTTTGGCCACCATTTTATCCATCTGGGTCTGCCAGAACTGCTTATGTTGGAAGTTGTGCAGGCCGGTGTTAATTGCTAGGAGTTTCGGCAGGGACTGATGGAAAACGTAAAAAAATAAGGGAATCGAAACTCGATAACGGAGATACACGAAAAGATATAAATGAATATTTGATTATTAGTGGCAATAACATTTATTTTAAGTTTATTTATTATTATTATTATTATTATCATTATAAATCAATTACTTTACTTTTTTTTATCAATTAATTTTTATTAATTTTTCCCTAGATCATCTATAACAATGCACATTTGCACCTTTCACTGTGTATGCACAGTAATGGCCGATACTGTTCTACTCTAAATGCTCCCTCGATTGTTTGTTGTTGCATCTTAAGAGGGCTCTATACCAAACAGGCAACCAGCAATACATTTTTATAGATTTTATTACACGGTTTATCTAAATATGAATCAACGCACAAATTAACAGATTTTCCTCCGTTTTAACGCAGATTTTTTATAAAATGGACTTAGTTTGAAACTCAAATAACTTTTTATTGTAAACAAATTTGTAATTTGTCGCTTTTGCAGAAGCTTTCACCTTCACCGAGAACTGACCTGTAGGATTCGACTCTGGGCGGTGGGGGTAAATCTCGAGCACCTCTCGCACCACGCGGGCGTCGTCTGCTGCGGGCACAGCGACCGTTTTAAGATGTCACAAAAGCTCCATTCCTCCCTCTCCGGCTCGCTCGTGGGATACACCAGGTTGCACGCCAGCAGAAGCGATTCCTTCCTCACCTGCAAAACAACAGTTTGACGTCCCTTCGCGACTACGATTAGAGACGTACCTCGCAGGAACACTTCAAGCAACAGTTCATCTGCAACTGCTTCGTCCCGAACAGCTGGCTGATCTCGGAGTAGTCTTCGCGTTTCTCGTTCTCCAATTTCGTGTCTACGTCTACGACTTCAGGGCGGTCTGTCAAAGCGACGCACGTTAATTTGGCAAGCGATTAATTTATGAGTTTGTGGAACTTATCGATTTATGTCGATTTAAAGCAACTGACTTAATTTTGTTATTTATTTGATTAACGATCTACGAACTCATTTCTCGACGACAAGTGAGTAAAAGTTGAATAAATTTGCCCGATCTGCTGGGAGCAATTACTTTACCTGACGCTACCCTCCTCTCCCTGCTCCTATCACCCGATATGCTGGGAAAATCGATTTCCTTGTAAATGAAAGGCTTCTTGTTGGCCCGCCTCTCGTCGTGCCTCTTCTTCGTCTCCACCAGCTCCACGTGCATCTGGTGCAGCATGAACCTGTTCCAACTCTGGAAATCGACACAGTGTGACAGGCCGTCACCCTTTGACGCCGAGAACGTACCTGGATCAAGGCAGAAAGGTCGATTTTCAGCTTGGCCTCGGGGTGCAGATCGCTCAGGATTAAACCTAAGGCGGACGCCTCGGGCACCGTCCGGAAGGCCCTCAGAAAATTTCCAGGCTGACAGGGCTGGTTCTGATACGGATTGCCCAACATATGGAACAGGAAGCCCAGCTCGCACGACAGGCAGAACTCCTTCGAGCACAAGTGCGACAGCAAGGCGGCCCTGAGGGGTTCGGTGAAATACAACACCTGTAAATGATCTACTTGCAATATTGAGGCAAATCTTAGAGGAATCTCTTAAATGTTAAACCAAACATTTTCTTATTACTTATAGGTCAGGAAATCCATCTGATATCGTCTTCTTGCAACAACATCGTTTTCTCCTGACAAAAAGTAGGTTCTAACCATATCAAAAACAAATTGCCACATGAATTCAATGGAACAGGAATAGAGTACTTCAGTACTACTTTTAGTTTGTTTTTCGTTTTCAGTTTTTTTTCGATATTTTGAAAAAGCAGGTATACGAATCAAGAAAGAGATGGTTAGAGCCTACTTTTCCTCAGGAGAAAACGGGGCATAAAAATAACTAAAAAAAGATCCAAAAAAAATCTGTTTCTTTGACGAAATTTTATTCATTATCGGAAAGGTCGTTTTTCACCAAATCTTGAAAATTTATAAGCAACTAGCAATTTACTCGCTTCATCACTGGAATAAATCGTGACGGTTCCACCAACGTTCAAAAACGAGTGGCCAAAGGAGTTTTCACTTACCTGTATCATGGCGTTACAATAGGAATTGGGTAACGTCGCCTCCAACCCGGAGAAACTGGTTTTGTTGTAGTGATCGAACTGGAATTCATCGCTGCCCAGCTTGCTGTACCTGACGTCTATTTTACGGTATCTCTTCGGTATGGCGATGAAACTGTTGCTCTCCTCTTGACGCTTGGGACTCTTGACGGTGCGGTTTGAATGCACCCTGTGACCGTTCCGTGTAAAATCGTATATGACCTAAAAGGGAAAGCGAATAAAGAAGAGGGAAAAAAGCGTATTTGTCGAGTAAAATGTTCCGATCGGACTGAATGACTTACGTTACTACATTTCCTCACTGAAAGGTATGGCAAATAAAAACCTAAAATTAACGCAAAACATTTATTCTATCGTATAAAAAAACTAGATCACAATTCTTCCCGACAGCCTGAACTTTATCACGTAATCGTTTGGATTCACACAAGTCAATAAATATAAATAAATCAAGACAATAAATACTGGAAAACTTAACAAAACTTATCTCGTAATTGACAGAGAGAGAGCGTAAGGTTGTGTACGGAATCTAACAGAAATAAACGGTTTGTAACTTATCGAGTCTCACTTGATTTCTCCGAGATGTTTTGGGGTTCGGGGCGTACCCAATAGGCCCCTGCATCTTCATGGTGTGTAGGATCTCCGGGTCGATAGCGGGCGGCTTTCTACAACATCAAAATAGTGACGGTTTTTCACTTAACAAAATAAGCGACATGTCGCATTCAAAAATAACCATGAAAATATTTAAGTCCCATCAAATAGTTGATTTCGTGTAACAAAATGTTTATAAAAGTAAAAAAATGTCATCAACAAAGAAACAAAATATCCCGTGTAATTTTTAAGGTACAAAACTCATTTTAGTTTAATAAAATAGCAAAAGGGTAACAAAATCCTAAAAAAATTTTTTGCAACCACATTTAAAAATGGTGATAGTAAAAATACTCACCGATAAACTTTCTCCATGAAGTGCGGCGGCCAATCAGATGCGAGAGGCACCTCAGGCGGCACGACAGGCATCGGGACTACAGACAGCGGATAGTTGGCATCCTCGATACTGAAGCTGGGGTACTGGTGAACACGCGCTACGGATTCCGCAAACTCGATAGACCTGGAGAAGGTGTTGAATGTGGGGTGATCGGAGGTGGCGAAAAAGTGGATGTGGCCGGAACTGTCGCCGAAGGCCATCGCTTGGCTGTTGGAGGATATATCGAAGGTCAGACACAGCGCTCCTAAGAAATATTAAATATTAACGTTGCCATTGGGGTGTAAATTGTTTATTAGCATCTCGAGATATCAAATTGTGATACCTTCGTTAGTTCCATACCTGGATTGTTCATTTGAAGGAGGCACAATCTGGGTTCTGCCAGGGCGATAGTGTCAAGAAGCTGCACCTGACCTATCGCAGACACAACGGCTAGTCTTGACGAAATAGACGGGATGAATTTTAAGAAGAACGGATCGAGAACCGTCTGCATTGGTGACACCGCCCTCATCATTCTCAGGTCGTACACCATCAGGAATCTGTCGACTGTCAACGAGTTGTGCCTATACGAAAAAAAAGGACAAATATCACAATGTCACGCTCTTTCCCCTTCATTTACCTGTTGCTGAAGCCGCACGTCACTAGTAGGTTCCCCTGAACGTCAAAATCGCTTAAACTGCCTGTGTGCGTATCGATGCTATGTTCGGTATTCAAAGTGTTGGGATCCCGAAAATCGATGTGACCCAATGGATTCCCTGCACATATAAATCTGCTGTGGGGTCGCAACATGACACAACCCGCTTCGCCAGCCTCCACCTACAGTTAATTACAAAAGTCAACCAATATGCGTCCCAAATCGATATGTATTCTCATATTAATTGCCTCTCTAGCCAAAAAAAAATTAAAAAACTCACCAGCATGGTTTCCTTACAAAGATCTAAATTGTAATCAATCAACTTGTCTTGTTGGCCTCCAAGCAAAATTCTACTGGATGTTAGTTGTAACATACAATGCATTTCGTTCATGTTCACAGACCTAAAATGAAGATTGATGTCTAATAAACCAACAGAAAGATCTTAATAGTACATAAATTATTAAATACTTACGTGTGTGTATAAATAGGAATACCCCTTCTCATTTGGTATCTTAAAGTGCTACTCGTTAGTGCTAAAATTCCATCGTCGATGCATAAAATCTGTCTCACATCTTCATTTGCATGTATTTGAAATGAGGTGTACCTATCCATGCCACCATTACCAGTTAAATAGTAGGAAGTAATGTGACCCTAAAAAATTGCAATAACCATCTTAATTAAGAATTAAAGCTGTTGAATAAGATTTCGAAAATCCAACTTATTTTTTCTTTTAACTTTGTTAAAACTTACATCTACATCGGACAGATACTTTTACTTTGCTGACAGAATCAAGGATTACAAATATTTGCTTCAAAACAGATCACAAATGTGTAATTTCTAAATTTTAATATTTTCTTATTAATTATTTACATTGAATTGCTATAGGAATAAAATAAACTTACTCCTTGATTGCCCATCCATAGTAACTCTTCAACCTTGTCAAATGTTAAAGCCGATACTCCAAATCTATGGGCCCCATCTGCCAATATATAATTAGTTTGGACGTATTCTGCATCGATTCCCATTAGGCCTGAGTTTTCTGGTGGGGCCACAACGGCCAACTGAAAGTTTCGTTAAGAAAAAAAACAGTCACATTTAACCTAAAATTTAGAAATATATCTTACCCCAGTGTTGTCGAAATACATGACTACGTGGTTGTTACAAAATTTAAACAGAAAAAAACATTCTTTTACTTATATTTCCTATTAAAAAGAAAGATCAGGCATCTTGAGCTATTTAAAAAAAAGGAAAAGTGACAGCTACGTGCTGCTCGCTGTCATTTTTTCTCAATTTCCAATCGAATCTATTACAAAAAATCTAGACTGCGTCATCATATGGTATAGCGGTTTTCGAAACTGTGTTCGATTGTCGTTCGGAATAAAGGAATCAGATTTTAATCATATGTTCTGATTTGATCCTTTCTACCCGACACAATAGTAGGATAAATCAGCTGTTTAAAAGTAACTTTAAAATGTATCCAGTTTATTGGTTCGTTCAGTGTTAAGGGCATGTTTAGTATGGTTAAGGGCAATATACATGCCCGTTTTAATAAAGTTATAAAAATGGATGTTTTGTTCTCTGACATTTATGTTCGTTCCGTTTGGAAATGTTACCCATAATCAGATGTTTCAAACAGCTGCTCATCCGTTTGATGCAGTCTGATGTCAGATTATAAATAGCATTCGCATTCGATTCGGTACTAACCTCTCTAGATGCTTTACAAATGTATCTCTATATCTGTAGTTGGGATATTCTGTAACTGAACTAATAAAAGGTGAAAGATAGGCAACCCATTTTGCACACTAGGTGTAAAACTATTTGCATGTAAGTACTATGCAAAAATTTTATATTTTACTATGATATATGATTAGTACTTATCTTTACAGTTAAAGATAAAAATGCACGAATTAAAATACAGCTTAAAATTTAAGAAAGTTTTAAATAATTTTTAATAGCTGCACAAATTAATTATTTTATATTTAACTTTTAAATTTCCCACAATTTCTGCTGTCAAGGCACCGGCCATAGCGTGGCAGGCAACATATTTTCAATACTTTTTGGTTATAAGACGGTTATTCCGTATTTCTGAATACAACTCCTCTATTTTTTCAGCATCATGAGTACAATATTAGAAAAAATTGCAGCCATCGAGGCCGAGGTAAGAGATAAATAGTCATTTAAGAAATATACATAACCTTAAATTATAATTTCTAGATGGCAAGAACTCAGAAAAACAAAGCCACAGCTGGTCACTTAGGGTTGCTCAAAGCTAGATTGGCCAAACTAAGACGAGAACTTATCACACCTAAAGGAGGTGGCGGTGGCACCGGAGAAGGTTTTGACGTTGCGAAGACAGGAGATGCTCGAGTGGGCTTCGTAGGATTTCCCTCCGTTGGGAAGTCTACGCTGCTGAGTAATTTAGCTGGCGTTTATTCTGAAGTGGCAGCATATGAATTCACAACTCTCACAACTGTGCCTGGTTGTATTAAATACAAAGGTGCCAAAATTCAAGTAAGCGATGTATTTTTTCTCTACTTTTTATTATCTAACAATCACTTTCGTAGTTACTGGATTTGCCTGGAATTATTGAAGGTGCTAAAGATGGGAAAGGTCGAGGTAGACAAGTAATAGCAGTTGCGAGAACTTGTAGTTTGATTTTTTTGTGCTTGGACGTTTTGAAGCCCCTGAATCATAAAAAACTTATCGAACACGAATTGGAAGGTTTCGGATTAAGGTTAAATAAACAACCGCCCAATATTTATTTCAAGAAAAAAGACAAGGGCGGCATTAACTTGAACTGTATGGTGAGTTTACAGATTTTTCTATTTTTTTAAGAGTGATACCTATATTTTTCTACAGGTGCCTCAGTCGGAATTGGATTCAGACATGGTGAAAACCATCCTATCCGAATATAAGATACATAACGCTGACGTTACCTTAAAATATGACGCGACAAGTGATGACCTTATAGATGTTATTGAAGGAAATCGGATTTACGTACCGTGCATATACATCTTAAACAAAATCGGTTAGTTGAAAATGTTTTCATTAAATAGAAGTTTATTGTGAATCAATACTTTTTTTTTATCGTAGATCAAATCAGTATTGAAGAACTGGACGTTATTTATAAAATACCTCATTGTGTACCGATTTCTGCACATCACCGATGGAATTTCGATGATCTGTTGGAAAAAATGTGGGAATATTTGAAATTAGTACGAATGTAAGTTAATTTTCACTATACAGGATGTTCGAAAACTCCTCTGTTGTACTTGAAGGGCAACTTGCTTAGATAAAATTAAAAAGATAAATATATCAAGTTACCTTGGTACAATTTCGTTTCTTTAAAATATTTTTTACGTCTAATTTTGTCCCTTAAAAAAATATGTCAACAGAGTAACTTTATTTCCTAAAAAAGTTATGGACTTCCAAATAATTTAGTTCCAAACTTTTTTTTTTATGTAATTTTCAAAAATAATAAAACAAAACTATTTATTACTTGCCAAAAATATTGACAAAAAAACAAGACTATTTTAAGGTGTTCTCGGCACCACTATATTTTAAGTACAAAATTATCTTATACTCATATTTGAGTACCTGAAAAATCCTATACCAAATTAATTTCATCGATATACTTTAAAAAGTGGTTACATTAAAAAAATTAGACAAAACAAATTATTTGAGGACCTTTAACTTTTTAAAGAAGCAACCTTGCACTGAAGTGACTCAATCTATATGAGATCATTTTGTCCCAAAGTAGCTGACCTTGAAGTATGGCGGGAGAGTTTATGAACACCCCGTACATAGTTAGGCATTTAACATTATTATTTCCAGTTACACGAAACCTAAGGGGCAGTTACCCGACTATAATTCTCCCATAGTTTTACATTCAGAACATACAACGGTTGAGGATTTTTGTAACAAACTACATAGAAGCATCGCCAAGGAATTTAAATAGTAAGCTAATTATTATTTTTATAAAAATTATTGGATTGCGATAACATTTTATAATATGAAAAAAATCTGTTCACAAATTAAAAGTCCAGGACGTGTGTTGTTTATACAGGGTGTAACTTTAAATGGGGGTCATATTTATACAAAGTGTCTCGAAATTAATGGGACACACAGCAAGAGTGGATTCCTAATGACAAATAGTGTTAATGCTTGTAAAAATACAGGTGTCAAAGCTGAAATTTAGAATTCAAAATTGTTAAAATTTTTAGAAATTTCTCGGTGAATTGCTTTGAAAATTTAGATTTGGAGGTTTGGATTCATCGGTTTGACGAAATTCGCTACAGCAAACTAAAAAAAAACTTAATTTCAACGAAGAGGTTCAAAATTAGTTCCTTGAACGTCTAGGCCGCATCCTAATAGTAAATAAAAATGTCTTCTAACTTTTTCTAATAATAAAATTGCCAATGCCGGCTATGAATAAGCTTGGTAAGTTTTTATATCTTCATTTTCAAACCTCCTTAAATATTCAAATTTTTGGCATTAATTAAAAACAAAAACAAATCGATAAATAATTCGAGAATAATTCACAGAATTAGATTTCGCATTGCAAGAAAGTATATCTCAATAATACGAAATTGGCTGCATTTTTTCATAACACCTTATCCTTCTTAACAAGTTTGTTTTTTTGCTTGCCGAGTGCCTTGATGTCATATCACATAAATGGATTGATATTACGTAGTGCGCCTAAACTAGATCGTTGTGAGGTGATTAATACTGAAATTCACAAACTAAACACAGTGCTTTAAGAAAATAGAAACAAAAATACTTTTTTTATTAACTTGAAATGATTCTAAACCATTATAGCTTTATTGGTATTTTTATTTATTTTATTATTTACGTTCTTTAAACCGGCAAAAATTATTATTTTAAACCAAAAATTAGTAGTAGATGGGTAGTAATATACAATGATATTTTTAAAACATTGTAAAAAATTGTACGAGAATCACTAAAATTGGTACACAGGGGTTTTATGACATGTGGAATCTCACAGTGCCACGCTTTTTGGCGAGAAACCCCCTTAAGACAATTTTTCGTGGGCCCCCTTGTCTTTGGAACCAGAAAAATTTGGTCGCGAGTTTGATTCTTTTAAAAATAATTAGTTTGCTAGAAAGCCATTGAATTTAGAAACGTTTTTGTCTCTTGATATTTGTTTTGTAAAACACAACGTTTTTGAGGTAAATGACGAATCACAAATATGCATTCGATTACATTTTGACATTTTTCTCGAAAACATTGCGTTATGAAAAAAGTATCGAGAGACAAAAAAGTTTCTAAATTCAATGGCTTGCTAGTGGACTGATAATAATTTTTAAGAAATTTAAATATGCCACCAAATTTTTTTGGCTCCAAAGACCAGGCGGCCTACGAAAAAGTGTCCCGTGAAAAAACGTAGCACCATCAGATTCCACATGTCATAAGAACCCTGTGTACCAAATTTAGTGATTCTCGTACAACAGGGTTCTATGATATAAAAAAATATATTAATCTTAGGGGTGGATTTCAGGGGGCTGTAACTCCGAAAGAGGGGGCCACTTGGCAAAAATAAAAAATACGGGTCCCCTAAATTTGTCCTAAGGATCTGTGACCAAATTTTTTTGCATGAATTTTGGGACACCCTCTGCAACTGAATTCGAGAACTGCCCAGTGACGGTGTAGACAAGAGTTTAAGTGCAATTTAAAGAAATTAAAAATTAAAACTACTATTTATTTAATTTAAAAAATAATAATTTCAGATTCGTATTCTGGGAAACACTTACCTAAAAAAAACTCCTCATTCAAAGTTACGTTCAACTAGAACAAAAGTAATCGCAACCAATTTTACTGAAATCCTCTTATTTTTCAGCGCCCTCGTGTGGGGCTCCTCAGTGAAACATCAACCCCAGAAAGTCGGTTTGGAGCACGTCCTCTGCGACGAAGACGTGGTTCAGATCGTAAAGAAAGTTTGAGACTTTTTTCAACAACGACTTTATTGCAGAAACAACTTTATATGTCAGGTTTAAACGGAAGATATTTATGATATAGGCATTGTTGCTTATTTCTAAGAATAAAGTGTCAAATTAGGGCCTAATTTTTTTCTTAAACATCGACAATAAATTAAATAAAAAAACTAAAAGTAACGCACAAATTACAAACTCAACAAACTTAATTTACTCCTAATTCAGCGAGTATAGAAACTTGTTCATGACGTACTCCTTGTCGTTAGGGGGAAATATTTCTATTTCTCCAGAACTTGGAGGAAAACCGTACGCCTGTTCCGGATAATGCGCCCGTGCGGGAACCATGAAACTTCGATTGAGATTCGAACTTTGCTGACATGCAAAATCATTACAATATCCAAAATCTTGGCCTTGCAAGTCCCAGTTCTGCGAAAAAGATCTTCTAGGATGAAACGAACGGTTCATGTCGTTTCTTTCAGGGTAAACTGGTTCGGGCAGTCTGCAATTTTGAGTTAAATTCATGTTTCCTCTCATCGGATTAGGTTTTTCTTCAAACGGGAAGGAAATGTTGAAATTTTTAATTTCCTCGAATTTGCTCGGATGAACGACGGGTTTGTTGGGGCCGCAGTTAAACACGAAACTTGTCGGATCCTTTGAACGCTCTCCCTGACAGAATGTAGACGAGCGTCTTTGAAGAAAACGCGCATTCTCTTCCCCGTAATTTTGCATAAAATTCTGATCTTTCCGTTCGTTCCCGAGGTTGTTTTCTTTGTTCATAGCCTCCTCGAAGCTTCTTCGTTGGACTACAGTCGCACTTCGAGTAGCGACAGGTTGCCTCTGCATGCTGCGTCGGCTGAGATCCTGCAACGACATCATTTCCGAATACTTCTGAGGTACGTTTTCAACTTGTGGATTGTTACAAATCCTTTCACTTCCCCCTATAGGAGGCAGTTGGTATCGAAAGCCGTCCATCCTTGCATGATTTTTCTGGAAGTACTGAGAGTTCTGTCTTTGCGGGTAGAAATCTTTGTCAAAAAAATGCGACTGGTTCGGATCGAGTGACAATTTCTGTTCGACGTTTGAGTACGACGGAATATTTTCGGTCGTCTGATACGTCCTGCCGTAAACATTCCCATCAAACTGATTTCTTTGCGGTATTTTTGGGTAATTGCAGTAGTTGTAACGCGCATGACTAGGGGTCGTAGCATAAGTTTCTGCGAAAAATTTCTGATGTGTCGCTTGAGAATTCTGCGCAAAGTTCTGGTACCTCCCTGGGTACGAATAGTTTGGTGCGGGCGTGTTTCTGTAATCTCGTTGCGAGTACATCTGTGGATACATTTCACCGAAATACCGTGTAGGGTTCGTCTCATAACTTCTATTTAAGTCATTCTGGGGGACGTATCCGACGTCGGCATACGAAATTGGGTTATTTTGTGACAAATTAATCCCCTCGTGAAAGTCGTCATCAAAATCCGTGATGTCCTGCAGTGGATTTGAAACGTTCTCTCTATCAGGACAAATTTGTGGTGAACCGAACCCATTTGGAAAGGGATTCGCCTCAAACTCAGTCTTGGGCACCTTACTTGGCACGGGTTCTTTGTTGGTGCTGAAATTTTCCTTATTTTCTTCATCGTTTTTATTGGACTGTTGCGGCGTCCCTTGTATTTTATGTTTTTGCGCTTGAATGGGGTGCGACAGCAGCTGCGAGTAGTAGTTAAGGGCCGGAGAGGGAAACGTTTTCTTAAATTTCGGGGTGGACTTGTGTTGGTTAGTTTGTAACCCCAACGTCTCCAGAAATGAGGTGGAACATATATCGAACGGTTCTTCGATCTCTTGTTTTTTTTTCGACAGCTCGTAGTCTTTGTCTCGAAGAGGAAAATAAGTGCTGCAATTGTTCGCTAGTGCTTGAACCGAACTGCTTTGATTTTGTTTGGGCGTTCTTTGTATGTTCAGTGCTAAATTCGTGTTGGTTCTGGAGGAAGTGGATGTTTCGAAGGTTTCATTGTTGCTGAAAGAAATTTTTAATTTAATATGCTTGTCGCCGATAAAAGTGCACCACACGGTAGATTTTCAGTTATGTTACTCGGATTTTTCTGTATGTTTACACAAAAATCAATTTAGAACGATGGTGTTTGTTTAATTCTTCCTTATCTCAACATTGTACAAAAATAAAGAATAAGTAATATCATATCTGTAATAGGCAACTTGCATGAAAATTTAATTCTTTTCTATAACCGTCAACAATTAGCAGTGGTCAAAGAGAACTAGGTCGAGAACGCACTTTGACGTCATTTAGTGCGACCGAGAAGACAATCTGCTTTAGATCAGTCAAATTGTCAAAAATGCCTCGTTTTTTTGCCAAAATTTGGTTCAGTAAACAAAGATACGTAAAAAACCGCCAAAGTTCGCAAAAAAAAACTTTTTCATTTAAAAAAAACTAAACATTTTAGAAAAAAATGTTTTAGAGAAAAAGTTATATCTTTTTATCGTTGAAATTTAATCAGAATGACATTATTGCCATTCGAAAGCTGACATTTTACAATTTCCATGCAAATGAGACGAAACTGGATGCGAGTTGCCTGGAAATTTCAAAATATGTTTATAAAATATAAAAACGTAATAATTCGTGTTGTATTTTTGTCTATTTCGGTATAATTCCGTCTCATTCATTTATTTTTCCTAATATTACGTTCCAAAATGCATTTCAAATAAAAAAATAATCTCAAACGTAATTTCGCAGTTTGCGATTTTGAAAAACTTGATGGGGACTGTTTAGAAAAAATATATCACTGTTCGTTTGGCATCTTTTTACTTATGTTAGAAAAACCTAATAACATGGATTTAAAAATATTTAAATATCTTGAATGTTGGGGAAAAATTGTTTCTCTAAAGATTTACGTTGATTAAACTCAAAATAATTCAAAGGCAAAATGGAAAAAAATATGCTAAGATTCGGAATAGAACTATGTACATTAGATTAGAACTGAAACATTAGAAGCCAATGAGAAATTTTGAATATATTTTTGAAATTTGAAAAAATTCCATTTTTATAAACGCCATGAAATTTAACATCACTAATTTTTTGTCAATTTTATTACGAAAGTTTTTATAAAGAAAATTGGATTTTTTGAAACGTTAACTGTGTTTTTGGCGCAAGGTGTTATTTAATTTAAATTTTTCCTTTTCAGTGTGACAAAAATATCCAAACATATAAAAAAAGATAAGTATTACGTTACACTTACGTTTCATTAAGAGTATCCGTATCTGTACAATCCTTAGAAACGGGCATATTTTGGAAGCGGATCTTCGGGGAAAACTTCCCACCCGGCGAAAAGACCAAAGGAGACCTCCAGGTGATGCTCTTCTGGATGTTCTCTTTGCCTCTCTCCTTGGAAGGGTTCTCAGTGTCGCACTCATATTCCATATTGAATATATTATCTTCCTTTTTCTCCCTCTGCAAGATTTTCGTAACAGTGCGATACTGATCCTCTGTCGAATCTGGAAGGTCCTCCATCTCAGTGTTGTGGCTGAACTTTTTCTTGTTGGGGAATTTAAATTGCTCCAGGGTTTGCCTGTTCCTTTCATCTTCTTCCTAAAATTGAAAGAAATCAGTACTTACCCTTCAGATTTCGTGTTCACAAAGAGAAAACTTGTTACCTTTTGAAAGTGTCTCAAAATTTCGTAAAAGTTCGGCATTATATATCTATTTTTTAATTGAATTTGATGGGATTATTAAAAAGATACGCTTTTATTGCTCAACAATGCATCTACAAGCCCAGGGCAATTTTGACAATCTGCAGATTGTTATTCTTTTGTTCAAGGTGTCTTGATTTATTTGATTGTTTTTAGAGTTTGCTTGAGAGACAATCGCGGACAATTTTTGAAGTAAGTCTTGGAAGACTCAATGCAGATAAATATTACTTATATACAGGGTGTTTTTTTTATTTGAGGCTACTATGATTTTTTAGGTGTAAACCTCAGAAATAGTGTGTGGGCAATTTTTTTATACAAAATTTAGTTATTCTACACCACTTTGCTTAACCTACTGTGATTTTTTCTTAATTATTAAAGATTAATTATTGTGTGAGAAAAATTGTAAATTTTTTACACAGAAAAAAATGTATGAATACAAAATGAATTACATAATAGGCTTAATTAAAAATAAATTAAAATATCAGTTTTTCAAGCGATATCAGTGGGATCTTGGCTATCTTAAGAGATATAAGATCAGTCAAATTATTACAAAGTTACGGAATTTTGATGACGGATAACTTGGCGAAGGCAAAGAGCAATTTTCTGTTTTTGAAGAAAAACTAAAAATTTTGATTTTCCTTTTTACTATTTTTATAAAAAACAAAGAGGTGAATCACAATATGCATTTGATCACATTTTGACATTTTTCTCGAAAACATTGGGTTTTACGAAAAAGTATAAAGAGACCAAAAGTTTCTAAATTTAATGGCTTCCTAGTGGACAGATAATTTTTAAGAAATTTAAATATACAACCAAATTTTTTTGGCTCCAAAGACAAGGGGGCCCATGAAAAATTGTCTTAAGGGGGTTCCCCACCAAAAAACGTAGCACCATCAGATTCCACATGTCATAAAACCCCTGTGTACCGAATTTAGTGATTCTCGTACAACAGGGTTCTAAGATATAAAAAAAGATTATTTTTAGGGGTAGATTTCAGGGGGCTGTAACTCCGAAAGAGGGGGCCACTTGGCAAAAAGAAAAAATACGGGTCCCCTAAATTTGTCTTAAGAATCTGTGACCAAATTTTGTTGCATGAATTTCGGAACACCTTGTATCATGGTTGTATATTTTGTTTTTAAAAAAAAATGTTTGTGAAAGCAAATAATTTAATATTTCGTCGAGTCGAAAAAGTGAAAATAAGACAAACAAAACAAACAAGATATGTATCAAAAGCTGAAGCAATAATCAATAATGATAAATGAAATACACAAAAATAAATATGTAGTCTGTTGATGGCTGCTAGCGATGAAAAACATTTAAATTCAGAGTTAGATGCACTATCTCCCTTCACATGCATTGTAGGTTGCCTACAATTCATGTATTTGTAATATATTATTACGGTAGCGGTGTACACAAGTATTAAAGTGCATT